CTCACTAATCACTTAGGTCCAAGTTAACAGATAGTATGGTTATGAAGGTGCTGTCGTCGCTGAGAACTTCTTGACAAGTGTACCGCTGGTAGTAACCTGACTCTAGTGCTTGCCTTTGACAAGCAATCTTATATCTCCAGCAGATCTGAATAGTGTATCTTTGTGCATTAGCTTAAATCATATTATGTGTACCTCACCAGGGGTCAAGCGGATTTAGACGGAGATAGCAGGGGAAAGATCCAGGATGCCATACCAACGGACTTAATATTACTATAACCGGCGAACTCCCATCTATATGAACCTTTTGCATACTACCTATTGTTTACCATGTCTTACCAAACGCAGGACAGCAAGAAACGACATTGATCCTCAGTTCATGCGAGCATGGCCACTGCATCCAAGCTGGTCCTGATCACAGGTATGGCAAGTTTGACCTTCAACGAACCTGTACTCCTGTCTCAGCGCAAATCTAGGTGCAAACCAAGGGGTCGGTTTCGAGACGGCCAAAGACCTTCTTCTTTCGAGTCATGACTACCACATCCTTTTAGGCTCTCGCGATCCAGCTAAAGGCGAAGAAGCCGCTCAAGCCCTCCGCACCCTCCCCGAAACCAAGGGAACCGTGTCCGTCATTCAGATCGATGTGACGGACGACAGATCCGTTGATGAGGCCGCCGCGTCCGTTCAGAAGAAGTACGGCCGACTGGATATCCTAGTCAACAACGCCGGCATCGCAATCCTGGATGAACCGCCGTCCCGCGATGCATACCGGAAGGTCTTGGACGTGAATCTAGTCGGAGCGCTGAGCACCACGGAGGCCTTTCTGGACCTGCTGCGACGGTCGTCCGAGAAGCGACTCATCTTTGTCAGTTCAAGCACGGGGTCAATCACCCATGCTGCTGATCCCGAGTCACCATACTATAACCCGCGGGGGATTGAATATCGCTCGAGCAAGGCTGCATTGAATATGATGATGGTCTTGTACTGGGCACGGCTGAAGGCTGAGAGATTCAAAGTGTTTGGAGCCGACCCAGGATTGTGTGCCACGAACTTGACCGGCGATCCCGAGTCTCTGCGGAAGAGAAATGCTGCGGAGCCATCAGACGGAGGTCAGAGAGTGGCCACGGTGGTCAAGGGAGAGAGAGATGCTGATGTAGGGAAGGTGCTGGGAGTATACGGAGTCTCGCCTTTCTGAGCGAGAGAGGATGAGAAGGTAGTGCGGTGCGTAGTTGAGTCTATATACCTATACCTATTGATACCTGGCTATCCGGCTTTGCTGAGTTTCGCAGGCAAGTGTCCACTAAGAATTGATTTGAGGCTTTCATCCACATGATGGTTCGTCTCGTAGAGTACGCAAGAGCCGCATCCGTTTGTTCTAAGGGCGTGGACCATCCTCTAGAGCGTTGTGCTACAATGGTAACAAGGGTGGCCCCAATGTCTGTAACAAGCTTAAGACCCATCCTTAAACGAACCCTGGTGACTGTGCCGACAGACCGCAAATAAAATGCCGTGCTTCAAGAACCAGGAATCAATTGCCAATAGACGCAGAGCAGTAACCTGCAGAAAAGAGGCTTGAGGCACTGGGGCTCTTTCAGTATCATCGGTCAACCAATAGTTGCTAGGCTGGAGTCCATCCACACGACGAGATACTAAAGATATCGGAGATTGCCACTGCATGTCAGAGCAATGATAAGATAGCGGCCCCAGATGGACGCAAGCATGTCTTAGACATGTAGAACTCATTGGTGCCCACGTTATGACCAACGCAATGCCGACTGACTTCTGTGCATCCGTCCGCGTCCGCAGTTCATACATGTCTGACAGACAACGAGCATTGTTTCCTGAGAGTCGAGCGTAACAGATTGTGGTGAAAGAACGGATCTCATCTCGTCGACCGACCTATCTGTTTGCGACGTCCGAACCGATTCAAATGAACCTCAGTATGACTATGATTTGTTAGTCCGCTGAACTGTTCTTGGGAATAATCCATGTTCTACTCGATGTCTGTTGCCCACAGCCTCATTCATCAGTACTGGATTCATTCCTTCATGGATGAGTGTGATTGGTGGTGCCTTTGCAGTCATTGAAACTGGGTGGCACAAAGTTAATAAAGACTCGTGTCTCTGTTTTGCGTGTGAGCTGACTCGCCCTAAGAATTCGTTTTGATTCATTGATGATTGTATCCTTGGATAGGGCGTGAGTGCGTGTGTGGGTGAGTGAGTCTATGGTGATGGCGAATTGACAGGCCGGATCACATGTATATTACTTACTCTTTTAGGCAGGCGTGCCTTGATGAGTCAATCTGCCCGATTGGAACTAGCGCAGAGCGGGGTGGTCGGCGGTGAGAGAGTTTGGAGCGCATAATCCAGCGAGGTGCTAAAATCTTCCAGCAATTATATTATGCCACCATCACGAATACCCCTCGTCGTCAATCCCCAGTTCTTCTTACGGCGATTCAGTCGGTCGTTCAGGATGGAAAGTCGCCAACAGCCCCCGTGGCAGCAGCCGCCCGCGCGCCCCGACGCCCGCCTCCCTTCTCTCAAAGTATGGAACTCTTTGACCAGATCCAAGACTCCTTTCGTGCCCTTGGATCCCGAAGGACGCAAGGTCAAGTGGTATGCTTGCGGCCCAACTGTTTACGACGATGCGCACCTCGGCCACGCTCGAAACTATGTCAGCACCGATATTCTGCGACGTATCCTTAAGGATTACTTCAACTATGACGTGCAATTTGTTATGAACATCACCGATGTCGACGACAAGGTATGAGCCACCGTGTTAGGAACGATGTTTGAAGGATGAGTGTGACTGATGGCCACAGATCATCCTTCGCGGTAGACAACAGCATTTGTTCAACAAGTACATTACGGAACATCCGAATATTACCCCCGAAGTCCTCGAGACTGCCCGGTCGGCATACAGCGCCTACATCAAGAAGAACCTCCCTCTGATCAACCCGGAGACGAAGCCTGAAGAATTTACCGCGGAAGTCGACAAGGTTTATGGAGTGGTTCTCAAGGGCGGCTCGTTGGAGGCAGATAAGAAGCCGGGCGATACGGAGACCAAGATTAAAATGCACGTTAAGACCGCGACGGCCTCATCTTCAGCCATCGCCGGTGCCGCAAAGAAGCCCGAGACCTCGAGTCAGGCTTTCTATGATGCTACACAAGATGTATTCTGCTACTACCTTGATGTCACCCAAGGATCCACGATTCCCGGCGATGCGTACGAAATCTTCACGAAGCTCACGAAGAAATACGAAGACCACTTTATGCGTGATATGAGGGATCTGAACGTTCTTGATCCCGATGAGATCACGAGAGTCACCGAGTATGGCCCACAGATTGCGGACTTTGTCGAGAAAATTGTTGCGAATAAGTTTGGGTATGTGGCCTCGGACGGGTCCGTTTACTTCGACATCAAAGCGTTCGAAGAAGCCGGCAACCACTATGCCCGACTGGAGCCGTGGAACCGAAACAATCAACCTCTGCAGAGAGACGGCGAAGGGGCCCTGTCTCGGGCAACCGAGAAGAAGTCGCCCGACGACTTCGCTCTCTGGAAATCGTCTCGACCTGGTGAGCCTAGTTGGTCCAGCAAGTGGGGTCAAGGAAGACCCGGGTGGCACATTGAGTGCTCTGCTATGGCATCAAGCTGCTTGGGAAGCCAGATTGATATCCACTCGGGCGGTATTGACCTTGCTTTCCCCCACCACGATAACGAGCTTGCGCAGAGTGAAGCCTACTGGCACGAGCACAAGCACCAGTGGGTCAACTATTTCCTGCACATGGGCCACCTCTCCATTGCAGGCTCTAAGATGTCCAAGTCCTTGAAAAACTTTACCACTATCAGTGACGCGCTCAAGCGAGGTGATTACACTGCTCGCAGTCTGAGAATCGTTTTCCTGCTGGGTGGCTGGCGCGACGGAGTCGAGATCACGGATGAGCTGGTCAAGAACGCCTCTTCATGGGAAGAGAAGGTCAACAACTTCTTCGTTAAAGTCAAGGATCCTTCCACATACCAGATTTCCGCCACCGATGCGGCATCGACCGAAACATTGACACAGGCCCTCAAGTCCACCCAAGACAAGGTCGATGAACACTTCTGCGATTCCTTTGATACTCCCAGAGTCATGGCTGCTATTTCTGAACTGATTACCACTTTCAACTCGCTTGACATCCAGACTCTGGAGCCCCAGGCCATCGAGGCCACTGCCAAGTGGGTGACACGGATTGTGACCATTTTCGGTCTGAACGGGGCTACCCCGGTGGACAAGTGTGAAATCGGCTGGGAGGGTACCGACGTCCCCGAGGTGGCGAAGCAGTACTTGTACCCGCTTTCCGCCATGCGTGACTCTTTGCGCCAGGCTGCCATGTCCGGCAACCAGATCACATCAGACAAGGTCAAGGAGATCATCGGTGCTGCAGCAGTAAAAGATGCAGACACGACCGAAGCCGCCAAGCCATACTCCCAGGCCCTGAAATCTTTCAGCTCCCAGCTCGCGTCGTTGAGCCTCGAGGATGCGAAGAGCTCTTCGAAGGAGATTCTTTCCCTCTGTGACCGTTTGCGTGATGTGGATCTTTTCAACCTCGGTATCTACCTTGAGGACCGTGAGAACAAGCCGGCTCTCGTTCGCCCTGTCACCAAGGATCTGCTGCAGGCTCGAGAAGAGCAGGCGCGCAAGGCTCTGCAGAAGCAGCAAGAAAAGGAGAAGAAGGAACGCCTTGCTCAGGAAAAGCTTGAGAAGGGAAAGCTTAGCCACCTCGAGATGTTCAAAACTAGCGAGTTCAGCGCTTGGGATGAAGAGGGTATGCCGACCAAGGATGCTGCTGGCGAACCTCTCGCGAAGAGCCGGGGCAAGAAGTTGAGGAAAGACTGGGAGCGTCAGAAGAAAGCCCACGAAGCGTGGCTTGCAAGCCAGCAGGGAAAATGATAGAGTAGCACATAGGTCAAGAAATTTTGATGCAGTTTTTTCAGCGGGACTGAATTTTTGATTTTCATACATCTCCCGCAGTGAATCAGATCTTAACCATCCTTGGGGTGTGAAGTGATCGAAATTACCTTGAGGCGGCTCCACGTAACGTCTTTATTCACTAAGCTGTGTGTACCACACTCCCATAATGAGAAGGTAGGTCTACCTTAGATTGTCAACCTTGATATGATTCTTCTCTTCTCCACGTCACTGTCTAACATCCTAACAACAGCTTCATCGAAGTCACACCTGGCAGCTTCTAGAGGCAAGCCTGAGAACACCCGAAAGGTCTTTGATGCACGTTGCTTCTCATCTCTTTCTCTAATGCTATCGATATTACCTCTACAACCACGTCACTGAGAAAGGTAGTAATCAGAGCGAATTCCTCTCGGTGGGCATAAAGGGAGAGTAGATCCTTCAAAGACCTCATTATGCGGCTTCCCAAGATTATGTTGCCTTTTGTGGCCAAGGGTAAGCCAGTCCGCTTGAAGAAGATATACATGGTGGCTCATGACTCTCTATTAGTTGCCCGAAACCAAGATCCCGGGGTTCGAAACACGCCCGAAGATAAACAGAGGCATCAGCTTTGCGAACTCCCCACAGAGCTGATGGATCTGATTGCTTCCTTCCTGGATAAGCCCGCTTTGTGCGCGTTGCGCTTGACATGCTCGACCCTCGAACGCGCAACCAAATACCAGTTTGGACGGATCGGTCTTCACACACTACACACAGATCTATCTAGGTTGAACCTGCTTGCCATGGACGAACTCGCCAATACCTGTGGCTTGAACCAGCATGTCAAGAAGATATCCATCGGCAGCGCTACTGGGAACGTTTTAGGCTACGGCTTCATTTGGTATCGTGACATCTTGGAGAATGAGTATCTCAACTTCCTCCGTTCTTCGGATGGATTCCTGAAATTGAGGGCCGTCTTGAAGAAGTTCTCGAATTGCCAATCGTTCCACATCTCGTTGTCCAATCAGCCTGAATCGGGTACCTGGACCGACTGTCTCAGCCCCAGCGATGCAGTGACGCTCGTGCTGCATCTCATCCCGTGCATGGCAAGACCCGTCGAGTCTTTCAGCTGCTCCTACTCGGACTGGGACAAACACACGGCAGGGATCATCGACCCCAGAAGGTTCTGCCCCCACACCTTTCAGTTTATCCGCTTCGGCCTATGCTGGTCCACCCTTACCGAGCTGTGCCTCCTTGCCCGGGTGAAAGACATTCTTGTGGCTGACTTTGTTTACGAGCTCATCGACCAGGCGCCCAATCTAAAGAAGCTGGAATTGGACTGTGGTGGAAGCGAAGGAGTCGCAGCCTTGTTCCAACGACTGGGACAAGAGGGTAGTAACATGGAGTTGGAGGTGCTCAAACTGTCGGGCGTGGTGGGTATCTTGGGCCAGGGCCTGCAGAACTTTCTTCTCGCCACCAGGAACTCTCTGCGCATTCTGGAGCTGAGGGTTGTTCGCTTTGAGACTGGGCTCTGGGAGACGGTCCTGGAGAGTCTGATGCACGACTTTCCGGCCTTGAAGGAGCTGACCTTGCTTTGGATCACCGATAGCACGACCGGTGTACGTAATGCCTTTCTCTGCGTCTATTCTCATTGAAAGAAGAACATTTGATTAACTGCGAACAGAGATATCCAACCCACTGGGTCCGCGATGACATCAAGGACGTACGAGGTCGCCATGGTCGCATTCGTCTTACCTACTCGGGTCTCCCTGTGCATAATGCTCTATACTCTCTTCTGACACGCTATCAGATCCAGCCTCCGCAGCAGCTGTCAGTTCAAGCGGCTCAGTGACTGCTGCTATGGTCCTGGAGTGACTCGTGATCGAGGGAGGTTTTTTTTGTCAACAAGAGACCTGAATCAGAGACACTGTTAGCTTGAGGTCATAGCTGCTCGTGGGAAGGTGGATTGTCTTGCACGATATTCATCATGATGATTCAAATCGCATTGTATCTCTTTCCTTGGGGCTACCAGACTGTAGTTGATGGGGGATGCTTTTTATTTTCTGTTAGAGCGAAGAGAAGTAGCGATTACGTGTGTGTTGTAACTTATCTCTCTCTGCATCTGCTGTGTGTCCCGCGTTCTTACCCAATTGAGACTTTTCCCCGCGTTTTGTTATCAGACCGCACTTCTTCCTTTCTGCCTACTCGAATACTCGAAGAGACATGTCGACAATTCTCTTCCTCTTTCTGCCACCATACTCATCGAAAGCACGGTGTATAACTTTGGCTTTCTTGTATTCCCCCGAGTACTTTCAGACTCTCTTGAAAATTCTCAATATGCAATGCTCAAAACCGCCAATCAGCCCATCGCCGCCACCCCTATCTCTTAGCATAGGGCTAGCACGGCTGTTATCTGCAACCAGATAGACTACATCCATGCCTATCGGTCGGTTACACCCTGGGCTAGACACTAGTCGACTAGAAAGTGTCAGCAGATGTGGCGATAAGAAGCAGGCTAAGGCGACTATGGTTGAAGTCTCTTAAAGACCGCCAATTCTTGTTTGTGGCCTTGCCATGGCTGCTTTTCTCCCTCGTCTTCCCTTCCCCGTCACCAAGTGCTGGTCACAGCCGTTCGTCCCCCAAGATGGCATCCGAGGACCTGATTGAGATTGAGAAATCCTCCAAGTCACCATACAGCACCGCCGACCTTGAGGTAGAGCAAGGTCGCCTTGATGAATTGCATACAAAGGAGGATGACTTGGTAGACAAGGAAGTCTACGACTATGAGTCGGAACACTCACCTTTCCCCGAGGGTTCGTGAATGACCACGACATCAGATGTCAAGTTAGGTGATATCTAACATGAGTTTCAAACAGTGCGCGCTGTTGTACCTGAGACAGACGACCCAAGTATGCCCGTCAGCACATTCCGAATGTGGCTCCTTGGCTTCATCTTCACAATGGTGGGCTCTGGCATCAACCAATTTTTCTCGCTACGTTATCCGTCGGTACATATCGTATCCTTGGTGGCAGAGCTGCTGGCTTATCCCTGTGGTGTCTTCCTGGCGAAAGTCTTGCCTATGTGGACTATAAGTCTTGGACCCTTGGGCAGCTTCTCTCTCAATCCAGACCACCAGTTCAACATCAAGGAGCATGCACTGATCGTGATCATGAGCAATGTCTCGTTTGGCTATGGGAGTGCGGACTCCACGAACATCATTCAGGCTTCTAGCTCCCAGTTCTACAATTTTGGTCTGTCAGCTGGCTTCTCGGTCCTGGTCGTCCTTTGCGCACAGCTCCTGGGATTCGGGGTGGCTGGGCTCGCTGCTCCATGGCTAGTTGAGCCAGCGAGGATCGTGTGGCCACAAGTTCTATCGAATTGCGCGATGCTCGAGACGCTTCATTCGCGTGCAAACAGCGTCGCCAATGGCTGGAAGATCTCCCGTCTCCGGTTCTTCCTGTACGTCACCGCAGCTGGCTTCATATGGTACTTCTTCCCAGGGCTCATGTTCACTGCTCTCTCGTACTTCACCTGGGTGTGCTGGATCGCCCCTCGCAACAAGATTGTCAATCAGCTGTTCGGCATGCAGACTGGCCTGGGACTGAGCCCTATCACCTTCGACTGGAGCCAGGTCGCGTACAACACCAACCCTCTGCTTTCGCCAGCCTGGGCTGCAATCAATGTGTTTGCTGGATTTGCGGTCTTCTTTTGGATCGTCGTACCGGGCATCTACTACTCTAACACTTGGTATACAGCTTACCTTCCTCTCATGACAGCCGACGTTTACGACAGAACGGGTGCCGAATACAACACCACTCGCGTTATCAGCTCGCAAAACACCCTGGATGTTGACGCATACAAGAACTATTCTCCTCCCTATCTCCCAGCCACGTATGCCTTTGTCTACGGACTGTCATTTGCATCCATCACCGCAGTCCTGACTCACATCGGAGTCTGGCATAGCAAGGAGATCTGGGCTGCCCTCAAAGGAAAGAACAAGCTGGACATCCACGCTCGCCTGATGAAGAATTACAAGAACACCCCTTGGTACTGGTATGCAGCCATCATCGCGGTGATCACCGCTATCTCGATCGTCGTGGTTGAAGTCTACCATACCAAGCTCCCCGTGTATGGCGTGTTTCTTGCTCTGATCGTCCCAGCAATCTACATGATTCCCTGCGGCATCATACAGGGCATCACTAACGTGGACGCCAATCAGTTGAATGTCCTGGCCGAGTTTGTTGGCGGCTACATGTTCGAGGGCAAGCCCCTTGCCAACATGCTGTTCAAGATCCTGAGCACCGACGTGGTAGGTCAAGGTGTCTATTTTGCCATGGACATGAAACTGGGCCACTATCTTAAAATCCCGCCGCGAACTCTCTTCATGGCCCAAGGGCTGGCCACCATCCTTGGGGCCTTGACACAAGCAGGCGTCACCATCTGGATGCTCGGCAACATCAAGGATATCTGTTCCTCCGACCAAGCGGACGGATTCACCTGCCCCAACGGCCGCACCGTCTACTCTTCCTCGGTGATCTGGGGTCTCGTCGGCCCGCGTCGTCTCTACTCCGTCGGCAAGATCTATTCGTCGTTGTTGCATTTCTTCTGGATCGGAGCAATCGCCCCGCTGGTAACATACGTTTTGTATAAATACACCCGCAACCGCTTCTGGAAGCTGGTCAACTGGCCCCTCATTTTCGTGGGCACCTACAACGTCCCACCAGGTTAGTGTCGCCCCCTTCCTCCCTGGTTCCCCGATCCCCCAAGCCCCACGTTGTCCACTGAGCACCTCTCCTCCTTTCCCCGCAGCCTCTCCTATCTTCTCTTATACTGACCCATCCTTGTCCAACCCCCATAGCGACCGGAATCAACTACTCCAGCTGGGCCCTCGTCAACTTCATCTTCAACCACCTCATCAAACGCCGCTTCTTCGCCTGGTGGACCAAGTACAACTACATCCTCGCCGCGGCGCTGGACACCGGCCTCGCCCTCAGCGGCATCGTCATCTTCTTCTGCATCTCCTACCCGGGCGCCGTCTTCCCCGACTGGTGGGGCAATACTGTCTACCTCAACACGGCCGACGGGGACGGGGTCCCGTGGAAGGAGATGCCGGCCGCTGGGTATTTCGGGCCCGCAAATGGGACTTGGAGCTAAGATTGTTGTGGGATGCTTGTAAAAGACGTGGGTGGGGGGTCGTGAGATGATTGGCCTGTGTATAGTACAGGTTACGTTGGTTTCTCTGCGTTCAAGTACATAATTTATATATATATATATATACCTATTGATCTTGGTAGTTGTTCCATTCGTTAGGACTTGTCTTTGATGAGGACCTTCGCAGTGAAACTTCGCGATACAAGAAAGGTACTATTGTACAGTACAGGGATGCTGAAGATAGCAAGGAAACTGCCCGCACGACGATTCTAAAGCGTGAGAGTAAAAGAACTTGCGAGGAGATGCATTGTAACCACAAGTTTCTTTATTAGATACAGATAACAGACCCCGATCTTCCCACCACCGAAAATTCCTGAACGTAGTAAAAAAAAAAAATAAAAATAAAAACAAGGACAAAGATGAGAGGGAAGTGGAGGCAGGAAAAAGCAAACCGCGAGCAACATAGTCCGAAATACAGAAGGAGAAACAAAAGAGGAAACGGATAAAAGTGTTAAGGGGAATTCAACTCGAATCCAACCGGCAGACCCCGAGTGCGCAAAGAGTGTGGCCAGGTGGCGAAGGCATTGGACGACAACTTCACATTGTATCATAGATGAAGGTGTATCGTGGATCATTTACTAGAACACGTTGGGATTAGTGGATGGTTGTGCAGGAGCTGAGAAAAAAAAAAAAAAAAAAAAAAAAAAAAAACTTACAGAGATCTCAGCCATGCCAAGGTCCTCACCAGAGGCGGCAGCTTGTTGCTGCTGAGGGGCTCCGTTCGTCTGAGCGTTACCCTCAGCAGGGCCGGTGTTATCGGTGGTAGCGAAGTAGTCAACCATCTCTGCATCAAGCTCCTCGACAGTCTTAGGCTTGGGGCGGTTGGGAGTGCGGCCGTTCTTACGGGCACCACGGCGACCACGTCCCTGGGCGTTCGTAGCGGCCTTGTTGGCGGTAGCAGGCTTGGGCTTGGGCTTGGTTTGACTGGACACAATGATACTTAGTCACCATCAAAAACGAACAGAAAGAATGGTTACTTACGCGACACGCTCACCAAGGGACTTGGGAGCAGCGACATCGGGCGCGTGGGAGGCATCAACGACAACCTCGATCTGATATGTGTCAGTGCCTAGAGCTTGAGCTCAAAGATAACGGTGAGCGACAACAAAACTGACCTTCATGGGTCTCCCATCGACTAGAAGGCCATTCAAATCCTTGGCAGCCTTCGCAGCCGTATCGGGCTTGCTGAAGACGATGGATGCGATTCCGCGGCTAGTACCATTCTGGTTGTAGGTGAGCATAACTCGCTTCACGGGACCTGCAGACTTAGTGAAGTATTCCTATAGCACCAGGAAATCAGATTAGTACATCGAATCAAGAAGTTCATTTGAAGAACCACGAAAGCATCGGCATGAACACAATTCGAAAGACGCATAATAACGGCCTCAGAAGCGACATCGACATCAAGAAGCATCAGCGAGCACATAGCGGCAGTTAGTTGTCAGCATGGATAGTTCTTCCGCATCTCTACCCGAGTACGGTGCTGTAAGCAGCCGTTCGCTCGTCCACCGTAGAATCTCCAATCAACATCGTAACCCTGGCCAGCATGCGCCTCCACTCAGTTCAACCTCACAAAATATACTGTCATCAGATGCCTAATAAGAGGCTCCTCAGAAGGTTGATAGGATAATCCATCCAGCATGCATATCCCACATTTACCCCCACCCGATTTGCGAGATCCCAGAAAGGCGGCGAACGTGTACTCAGGATCCCTCAGATGCCCTCCGTAATATCCCAGTCCAAGAAATGCAAGCCATAAATACTCGCACAATGTCCAAAGAAGAATGTATCGTGCCCCAGCTAAACACGATAGCATCGCTCGATAAACATGTGGTATGATATGACGCTCGACCACAACCCGCTCTTGAGGCGATGTGTTGGATGTTCTGCTGGCATGCCAATGCGCTCGCTGATGCCTGAGAATCCTAACTGGAGGTTTCACTCGAGCTTGACCAAGCGAGGAAAGAAAATGAAGGCATGCTTCGAAGGATAATCCATAGCGCAGTCTGCGGCTTCAACAAACCAGGCGGGACACTGAGAGTTACGCTCTGGATTGGATGCGCCATTTGCAAGACTAGGGCAGAGCTCGACTTTGATAGGCTTTCGAAGCGCGAAGGAAGATATCTGCGCCAAAAGCGTCAAAGGAGACTGCTGCCCGTGCTAATGTCCACAGTCCACGACGATGATGTATGCATGACGGTGGCAAGGATCGAAACGCGAGAGAAGCCGTTGCGCATCGAAGGTTTCGGAAAAGAAACATGGCGATAGAAACCCAAGGCAAAGGCCTTTCGATCAACATACCTTGATATTGGCCTCGTTCACATCGGCAGGCTGGAGGGGAACATTAGCTTTCCGCTTCCTGCAAGAGATTTTGTGGATCTAACATACCAAGCCGCTGACCATGATTTTACTTTCACGCGAGATAGGGTGTCCATTCTGAGCAACCTTGCCGGTAGGCTTAGCAGTCTTGGTGGTCTTCTTGACTCCACCGACCGGAACAGAAGCGGCGGCGGCCTTAGGGGCCGAACGGCGGTCGCGACGACGAGCACCCTGTCGGCGGCTGACGAGAATCTCGTCGAGAGACTTGTCCAACTTGCCAGACATGATTGTAGCTGATGGAGTATTTATCGAACAAAAGATGAGAGATCGATCGATAGCTTTCGCAAGTCGCGGGTGTTACGCCACTTGAGTTTCGCGACTTTTGAGGAAGCGAAGGCGATTGTTCTGAGTGAAGTTTGTCCAGAAGCTGGAAGACGAGCTGGAACAGTATGAATTGACGGTGAGAATTGACTGTAGATAAGTTTACACCACGCAGAAGTGGACGCGATGATGCGGGTTGATGAAGAAAATAGAGGATAGAAGTGATGGATGAAGAAAGGGAAACACAGGCGGATGAATGGAGAAGATAAGCAAGGGCGGAGGGGAGGAGGCTGAGTCACCCTAGTCCCGATCAGGTCTTTCGAGCTACCCGCATTAGGGATTGTTGCGACATTTCCAGTTTCCCATCGACACCCATCCAAGGTATAACTTAGGCTTCGTTGGAATGTAATTATCTACAGTATTCCGAGGCTGGAGGATTTCATTCACTACCTATCAATTAACAGATAGACTCAATACCATTGATGAAAAAGCACTCGAATTATGTTCAGACTCTGATTATGCCAAAGCTACTCACTGCTGCCCAAACACCAGGATGAAAGAAGCAACGGCCCGATGATAATGCAAATGGATAATCTCATAACATTTGTATACGACACACATGGTCACTCAATCGAACCATAGTGTTGCGCGGTATAGTAAGACAACGCAATGTAGTCGAAGCTCCAGAAGCCGGGGCCTGCCCAATATCAAAATGAATAACAGAGATCAAGAAATAAACGCCTGGCGCGCCCTGTCCAATCGAACGCCATCTAAGACTGATTGAAAGTATGTAAAGAAAGAGAAAGAACGAGCAGGCGCATGCATTAAAGCCATCCTAAACCATGATGAGTAAGTTCACGTTGTCTGTTCAACTCTTCAGGGCTTCCAGTCTTCCTCTCATTTGTGCAAGAGTCGCTTCTTGGTCCTCGAGCTCGTCTTCGGGCTCCGGAGCTTCTTCCAAAGGCTGTTCGGGCCTGACACCCTCCACCTGAGACAACTTGCCCTGGAGAATCTCCTGCAAGACTTTGTCCACTTCCTCCTCAGCCTCATCCTCCTCGTCTTCGAGCAATTCATTATTTGGGATCGCATCATCCACCATTTCCTCAATGATCCCGGCGCGCACCAGTTCAGTTGACAATTGTTGCATTGTGGCTGTCAGTTCAGGCATACGGACGAGGGTGTTGACATCCTTCATGATTCCCGTCGACTTCTTCAGACTCCCTTGAATCTTGCGCACCGAAAATGCCTCATTGACCTGCATGTGGACGCTCTGCAGCTGAGCTCGGCTAGTGTGTAGCCGGGTCGACTGCTTTCGAATCCGAACAAGTTCTCGCGCAAAGGTCTTGGCTTCCATATTGGCCTGCTTCGCCTGGGAGGGGTTGCGTTGGGCTCGTCGAGATGCACTTACGATGTGCTGTCGTGTTTTGCTTTCCAGGGTCTTGAGTTGGGAGATGTCACGGTCTAATTGACGGGTATTGGCACGGATGAGCTGGTTGCATTTCCTCATCTACAATTGAAAACATGGGTCAGGATGGAACGGCCAGTTTGAACGCCTGCATGTGACGATACCTGTGCTTGAGGATCGGGGCCGAAGAAGACAGCCTTAAGGGTCTCCATGTTGAAATATCTTCAAAGCTACCGCAACTGAGTGAGTCCTGTGGAGATGTACTGCAGGTGTATGTTGATGGCCGATGCTTCTGGGCTGAGTAAGAGTGGAACAGGCGTCTATCAGGAGGAAACTCGAAGGCTTATCCGGAGACCTTGGCAGCAGGGCGGGGTATAGGAGGGAGATCTTTTGCGAGTCTCCCCGGGTCAGGCTGCAGGAAAGACAGACAAAAGTTGATTCAATAGAGAGGGTCACCGCCAGAAGCCACAAGAGAATCCTATAGAATTATTTTTGTCAGGTCGAATGTTGTTTGTCGTTCGCATCGCTATTGGGGTGCCTGGCACTGCCGCACTCAGTCAAGGCCAGGCTCGCTGAGGAGACAGGCTCGATTCGGCTGAGTCATTCCCAAATGCGGTGACGTCGCTGAGATAGATGCATTGAATGCCTCAGGCCATGACAAATCGTCCCCCTAGGAGCCCCGGATAAAGTTGCAAACCTAACAAACTCCCTGCGGGCGGGAGAGTTCCAGTACTTTCTAGCACCATATTGAGCCGATCGTCAGCTTAGAGGCAAGCGGGCTGGATTTCACCTGCTGCTGCTGCTGTTCTGCTCTGCTCTGCTCTGCTCTGCTACCTAGACGAATCCACCTTTCACTCACTCAATCTTCTCGACTTTCCCAATCCGATCCATCTTTCTTCTACATTTCAATCTTGCATATCTCTTATCTCCCCATTTTTCATAATGTCTCTTCCTCAGGTTCACCCCGAAGGTGTGTGTCTCTTGTGCTCCGTCCCTCATTCCTACCTTCCCCGCTCTTGGTTTTCGTGATTCGCACGGTGGCCGGTTGCCATAAATCGCCCCAGCTCAAGCTTGACTCGAGACCAACCCAACACCCTTCAATTTCCTCGCTAGCTCTCTATCTCGCAGTAACGATATACTGACTATCTCTTTCCAGTTACATGGGCTCAGCGCTCCTCGACCACTGAGGCCGAGCGCAACTACCTTTACGTGAGCATCAAGGCTTCGGATGTCGCTCGCGACGCCGCTAGCCTTAGCATCACCCCCACCAATGTCTCTTTCTCCGGCGAGTCCAAGAAGGGCGTAAAATACCAAGTCTCTCTCGACCTTTACGCCGAGATCGACCCCGATAACTCGAAGGTGAACCACAGTGACCGTGAGGTCGAGTTGGTGTTGCGCAAGAAGGAGCTCAAGGAGGAATACTGGCCCCGTCTGCTGAAGACGACTCAGAAGGTTCACTTCCTCAAGACCGACTTTGATAAGGTATTGTGATCCTATTTGTACCTCACCGATTGGGAAACCGTCAAGGCTGACTTGGAGCTAGTGGGTCGACGAGGACGAGCAGGATGAGGCCCCTGAAGATGACTATGCTAGCGGCTTCAATGGTATGGATGGAGGCATGGACGGTGGCCTTGGCAACATTGATTTCTCCAAGCTTGGTGGCCTTTCCGGTCTCGGCGGCGCTGAGGCTGATGCAGGCGAGGGCGAAGAGGAGGTATGCTGAACATTACCCTTCTCGACCTTCTATGCGCGCTTGCTAACACACCCACTAGGATGAGGAGATGCCCGAACTCGAGGAGGCCAGCGATAGCAAGGATGCCAAGATCCAGGAGGTTGCTTAAATGCGAGAAGTACTCGCGGGACGCGCATTGCGACTTACGGATGTGGAGAACGGAGGCATAAACGAGAGCACTTATCACAATCAGCATCATTGAGCCCATCACGCTCGGTCTATCGTATAATGTTTTGATCGACTCATAGTGTGACTAATTGGCACAAAGTCGAACGACAGGTTTAGCTAGCTTTATCGGCCTGCCCAGAGAGGCAAAGACGAGAAGGACAAGTTGGAAAGGAAGCGAATAGTTTAGTATTCTTTCTTCATTGGTTTGAGATGACGAAATAGCCAACGACGCTTTTGCTAGTAGGAAGACCTTCCCCTCCGTAATTTCCCCGAGTAGCCCTACAGCATGCTTATTTTTTTCTTCTTCGATGATGTCAATAGCGCCATAGTGCCCCTCCTCAATGTGTGGCTTTGCGACCGTAGAACAGCAATCGGGGACATCAACCGGCCAGGGACAATTGCTGGTAAAATACCCCTATCTCGTTCTGAACATAACAGAACGTTCAATGTCGGCCATGTGAAGAGATTTTTTGGTGGTCAAACCCGACAAGTAATGCGCCGGTGAGGGTTCGACCGCAGTTTGGCTATTCAACTCCATTGGCGGAGAGGCAGATTATGTGAAGTTGTTCCGCCACACTTGGAAACCCACACCTTGAAAATGTGGAGGAACCTGCAACCACTGCACACCACACGGCCTTTCTTCTTGTTCGTTTGAACCCCCCCCCATCCCGGTTGTTGATTCTTATCCTTCCCAGGCACGGCGTTGTGATTTTCGTTTTGCCTGACCCGGTTTCGACGTCAGGCCGACTCTCATTCAGACATACTTTGGACTTGTCTATTGTAATTTTTAACCCCCCCCTCCGCTTAGCGGACTGTACCCAGTTTCGTCAGCCCGCTTCAGTTTCGGCTCGTCTGTGGAAGTTCCCCTTCCGACTTTCCAATTCTATACTCGAGGGCGCATACGTCTCAGCTGAGCAACTGTCTATTTTTACACTTGTTTCCACAAAGAAGCGCATAAGTCAAAGCCGCCATCATGCCTCCCAAGAAAGGAGCCGATCAGCCTAAGAAGAAGAAGGCCACGGTCGAGGACAAGGTTTGACCCTCGTGGCCCAATGTTCATTGCGTGCGTCGTGGCTAACCTGAGCGACTCCCTTGCAGACCTTTGGTATGAAAAACGTACGTGAAGTCTTTTCATGAAAACCTTCGCCTTTTCGCGCCTACCTTTATCGTCCAGAAGCACAAGGAAAAAAAAAAAAGAGGACCCATTCGCTGACCGGTTATCTTCCCTCGCAGAAAAAAGGTGGTTCCGCCAAACGACAGATCGCCCAACTCAATGCGCAAGCGGCCTCCAACAAGAACGCCGAAGAAAAGAAGAAGGAGGCCGAGAAGCTTCGCCGTGAGGCCGAAAAGAAGGCTGCTGAGCAAGCCAGAAAGGAGGCAGCCGACCTGTTCAAGCCTGTCCAGGTCCAGAAGGTTCCTTTCGGTGTCGATCCGAAGACTGTTGTTTGCGTTTTCTACAAGCAGGGCAACTGTGAGAAGGGTCGCAAGTGTAAATTCAGTCACGACTTGAGTCTCGAGCGCAAGGCCGCCAAGAGAGATCTGTACACCGATTCTCGAGACGTCAAAACTGCGGAGGAAGAGGCTAAGAAGAAGGACAACATGGAGGATTGGGACGAGGAGAAATTGCGCAAGGTCGTTATGAGCAAGCACGGAAACCCTCGGACCACGACGGACAAGGTCTGCAAATACTTCATTGAAGCGGTCGAGAACCAGAAGTACGGTTGGTTCTGGACCTGCCCCAATGGAGGCGACAAGTGCATGTACAAGCACAGCTTGCCACCAGGGTACGTTGCCTTCATCCGTCACGCAATACTTTCCGCGCAACTGACAATCTGGCTAGATTCGTCCTGAAGACCAAGGAGCAGAAGGCGGCAGAGAAGGCTTTGATGGACAAGTCGCCGCTCAACACCTTGACACTGGAGGATTGGTTGGAGTCCGAACGCCACAAGCTCACTGGCGATTTAACGCCTGTAACGCCCGAGACTTTCGCGAAGTGGAAGAAGGAGCGCTTGGACAAGAAGGCTGCCGAGGAGCAAGCTCAGAAGGCCAAGGAAGCCACTGGACGTACATTGTTCGAGAGCGGCAACTGGCGCGCTGAGGATAGTGAGAGTGAGAGTGAGGATGAGGACGATGGAGTGTGGAACTTGGATGCTCTGCGGCGGGAGACGGAGAAGATCCGCGAGCAGAAGGAAGAGGAACGTCTGGCCAAGCTGCACGGTGAACCCGTGCCAGTTTCGAATGACGCACAGATCGCACAGGAAGGTGAAGGTTGAGTGAGTTGGTGCGAGGCTCCCAAGCAAACGCACTTGCTTGGGTGTTTGGGCTGCGGACCTCCCACATTGCAATCGGCGTACCGGGCCATCTGTCCGGGCCCGAGATGTTGATCGTGTTGATGGCTGGTGGATGCAACGCTCTTAAGTCGCAGGAAATGCTACATGAGCGTTTGTATCGACCTCCGCAACTGGGTTTGATGGCTCTGACGGTTAACGTGAACGGATTTTCGTGTCGCCTTTGGCTCCTCCCTACTGGACACCCGGCGAAGGGGTGTCGAGGTTGATTTAGTGCTCGAAGTATTGATCAGGAGGACAGACAAGGTGGCGGAGATTACACAGGATTGAGATAGATCAATGTGTTTGCGGTGAGAGGATGACTGACATGATTTAGTATGCCATATTTGTACGTACAGTTTTCTCTCAACACAAGCCAGCGTTTTCTTTGGCCGATCGTCGTCATTTCCAGTAGATTACCTATCAAGTATAAGTAATAGTACCACCTGTGGAAAGAGGATTCGTGGTGTCGACACTACAAACTCCCCGGTCCGGTCTTTAGTTCCTTTCCCCTTCCCCCACTTCCATAGTCAAATTGAATGGAAGTTCTTTCTACTACCGTGGACGACCCTCAGCCCTATCCATGTCATGAAACAGCTGCCGAGGTATACATTCACTACTAAGCTGGTATTTGTTCATCTTAAATTTGAGCCGAGCTCAGTCGATGTCAAGATAACATGCGAGGATCGAGAAACTGGACCCTGTCTCATTCAATTCAGCTATTAATGAGCCATGGCTCTTGGCTTGTGAGCATCCGCCAATTATCGTTTGCGCTTCGACGTTGCATAAGAACAACATTGCCCATTTTGGGGAACTATCTTGCTAACTGGGCTGAGCGTCGGAGTAACTGTCTTACGAGACTGACATCTTCTTGATCTGTCAGACATCCATGGCGCATGTGTTTCTCACCCTCCTTTTCCCTCGATCTCTTCATGGTCTGAGTTTTGATAGACTACTTTTGCAGTCTTTCCCGCTCAGATGAGTATTTGCTTTCTAGAGAGGCTTCTGCTGGCCTTGATATTTGGTTTTCTCCCAATTAGTAAGTAAGAATCCATGCCGTTCTCTCTTTTCACATCCAGTGTCTTGACTCGTGTTGACCCGTCATACTAGCCGTGGCTCAAGTATGTCTCCCGCCTTTGGGTGAGGACGGATACTCCTACAATGCAACCGACCAATCTGTCCTCGACGCCATCGCGAAAAATTGCACCACTATAAATGGGAGCATTGTGATCGCGACAAGCTACACCGGCTCCTTCTACCTGCCCAATGTTCGCAATATCACTGGACAGATTCGCTATGGATCGGAGGGGGACCCCGC